CAGCCCGGGGATGGGCCTCGGGGCCGGTCCCTCCGCCCTGCGTCCCCCCAGCCCCGTAGGCCCGGGGCCCGGAGCAGGAGCGCGGGGTGGGCCGTCCCGCCCTGCCCGTGCCAGGGTCTGCCTGCCCGGGCCCCGGGCAGCCCGGGAGGAGGCAGGTAGGGCCCAGGGTGATGCCCGGGCAGGCTGAGCGGGCTTTCTGGGAGGGCCGGAGCCGCTCCAGAGGGAAAGGGGGAGCTGCCTGTTGGCGGGGAGGAAGCACGAGGTGTGCGGGCTGAGCTGTGGCAGCCCTCGGGCGGGGACTGCTGGTGTTCAAAGGGAAGTCGAGGCTCGATAACGCTGCTTTGTGTTGTGCTGGCCTTTTGATGAGCATGTTAGCCTGCAAGTCACCAAAGTGGCTCTAGCAGGGGGGTTGAACTGGGTGATCTGAGAGGTCCCTTCCAACCCTGACCACGCTGTGGCTTCAGGCCTCCCTAGCAAGCTGCCATCTCTGTTCCGTGTGCGAGAGGGAGGGCTGGTCTGTCCCCTTTTAGACAGCCTGTGAACGCCGACAAAATGCCCTGCACCTGTGTCTGCCTCCTCCTCCTCTTTTCCCACCGGTGTGGGGGGGGTTTCATGCTCCAGGTCTCCTCCCTCTCCCAGATAAAGCCAGCGATAAAGTCTGTTCTTTCCTCTCCAGGAGCCTGGAATAAAAAGTGCTATGGCAGGATACACAGGTGAGATCCAAACTCTGCTGGTTCAACCCCTGAGAGAAGCTTGAGGCTCTGCCAGTGGTGCTGGGGACGTTGTGTGCCTTCTTAGCTGGGGGCCCTGTCCTGGTTGGTGGGATGGATGGTGTAACGTGCAAGGCTGAGGCATCTGTGTTCTTTCTGCTATGGGTTTCTGGCAGCTGTTTTAAAATAAGACAGTGCAGTTCATTTGGAGTGAGGCAGAGACAGCACACTTCTCTTTTTTCGGGCTTTTTCATGGGTGAAGAAGGTCTGAAGGAGTTGCACAGCTGCCTCTGAAATGTGTGGCTCGTCTGCAGTAGCAGTGGATGGGAACAGAGGGTTGTTTGGTTCCCATTGCACTGTTGGAGACCTGGTGTCTCTGCATGGGCCTCTGGGAATAATTACTGAATAATCCAGTTGGCAGCAGAGTGAGGGAGTGACTGCTCCTGCGAGAGGGAGTCTTCATCCCTCTGGAATAAAGTTCAGTCTTGGGTGTCATTCCTTGAGGTAAGAGCTGAGCTCCCCCCTCCTCTCCCACCCTCTTCCCCAGTACATGTGTTTTTCTGGTATTTAGATCTTGGCAGTTGTGGCCATGTAAATGGAGAGCATTTTGTCTCTTCAAGAGCATGATACTTCAGAATTTTTTTCCTTGGTGTCATAGAGGTAGGACTGAAATTGCAGTGCAGAGCTTTACCTTGAATGTAGAAAGCCAGTTTTTTAATTAGTAGAATAATCAAACTCGATGTTTTAAATGGAAGGATATGTAGCATGACTGAATATTTTAATGCTGGATCAGAAATGCTAATGCTTAATTCTCTGTTTGAATGAATAGTAAACATCTTAAGATGCTTGCAAAAATGAAGCTCGTATGAGTGTGCGTCAGATCATACTTATAATTCTATTAATGCTGAACTGATGTGAAGATAAAATTTGGTCAGCAGAGTAAGATAACCAAGGATTACTTTGGGGTGCATGATCATACATACTCATTTGTGAAATGCATTGGTTGCATTCTTTAAGAAAGAAAGGGCCTTATTTGAATGTTTCCTGTGAGCTTTCTTGGAATGCAATTTGTTTAGCTTGTCACTACAAGAAAAATAGGTGTAGTGTTAGACCTAGATATTAAAGACGTAGTAATAGTTAATTGGTAGTTAGTTAATTTTTCATCAATAAAAATTAACTCCTTTGACTTCTGATGCCTGAATATACAGCATCCCTATAATAAGGGATATAATTGTCCCTTCTTGGGACAATTAGGGAGAAACCCTGATGTGCCTACCTGCAAAAGAAGTAATTTATTTTTTTTTAGTAAATATTAAGTAGCACAAGTGAGAAACAAGCTAAACTTTTCCTGTTGATTTTGCCTAACAAAGGTTAAGGGGACTTCCTTTGTGTTGAACTATCCCTGTCAAAATACACAGCTGTAAAACAGAGTTTTAATACTAATTTAGCAGGCTGGAAGGCTTCTGAGCCAAGTCTGCAGGACCAAATAGCCAAAAGTAGATAGATACTTTTAATGGGTAAGATGTTTCAGCAGGTTCCCTTTCCTTCCTTCGTTTTGAGAGTCTTCCTTTGCCTCCCTGCTCCCCCTCCTTTGGGGAGGAAGAACAAGGAAATGGAGAGGGGAAGGAAGAGAAGAGGTAGAGTTTTTTTACCTCTCTTTGCTTCCCTGTGCTACTTGTTCTTGTCTTCTTGTCTCAATCTTCACCGTTTCCTTTCTTCCTGGGAAAAAGGAATCTGGTGCAAGTTGAAGAAAAGGAATGAGAAATTCAAAGTTGATGAGAAATTTGGGTGTTTTCCAAGGAGCAGCTTATCTGTCTTAGAGAAGGAGAAGTATCTGATTGCTCTCTTACTCTTTCAGGGGACTGCATTTTGGGTGACTTTAAGGAAGAGGGGGGCATTCCTGAAGTTCCTGAGGAAGATGTGCTGCCTCAGCTACCTGAAGCCCACAGCCCGGACTGGCCAGCAGCCTGTAATAAAACCCCTCGCCAAAAAAGAGGCTCCAAGAAACTCGCTGCTGTCACTGATGGCCAGAAACGGGATGGAAAAGAGAAACCCTATACATGTACAGAATGTGGGAAGGGTTTTACGGGAAAATCCAGGCTCTTGACCCACGTGCAAACCCACACGAGAGAAAAAACCTTTGAGTGTGTAGAATGTGGGAAGAGCTTTAGCAGGAAGGCCAACCTGGTGGTGCACCAGAGGATCCACACGGGGGAGAAGCTTTACAAGTGCAAGGAATGTGAGAAAACCTTAAGCAGCAAGTCAAACCTAATTGCTCACTGCAAAACCCATGCAAAAAAGAAAGCCTATTCTTGCACCACATGCAGGAAGACTTTTGGTGGACGCACAGCTCTCTTCCAGCATCAGAGAGTCCATTTGAATGAGAAGCCCTATAGATGCGTTGAGTGTAGAAAAAGCTTCCGCCTGTGCTCAAACTTCATCAAACATCAACGGATTCATTTGACAGAGGGACCCAGTGAACACACAGCAGGTAACTGAATTATTGTTTGTTGAGTTTTATTTCAAGCTGTACAGACTCACAGGTATCAGGTATTACTGTGGTTTCCATTTGTTCCTAAAAACTTCTCCCTCCTTGCTGTGGATATGAGAGGGATAGGTTGGTTTGTTCCCCTCCTATACAATGGCATTTATCTCTGTCATTTGAAGAAGTGCCTTGAAAATGCCAAAGTTGGAATTTAGGCTTTGCCTTGGACCTTAGGCTCTGCAGAGCTCTCAGATCCAACTAAGTCCTGCTTCCCAGTGTTGCCTAATGTCTAACCACAGATTTTCAGCAGTGCTTAACCAACAAAATACTAAGCTTGGAGAAGTGGAAGGGTCTTAACCTTGGTAATCTCTAGCAGCTATTTTTTGTTAATGGTGATTATTCTAGAGTAACTTTTTGTTGTCTGCAGTGGGAAATCTCTGCTGGCCATCCCTCTGTAATACTCTTAGCATAGAATCATTAAGGTTGGAAAAGACCTCTAACCATCAAACCAACACCACCATGCCCACTAAACCATGCCCTGAGGTGCCACGTCTGCACAGTTCTAGGGATGGTGACTCCACCGCTTCCCTGGGCAGCCTATTCCAATGCTTGACCACTCTTTCAGTCATGAAATTTTGCCCAATATCCAAACTAAACCTCCTCAGGAGCAACTTGAGAACATTTCCTGTTGTGTTGTGGGAGTTATGTAGTTATGTGGGAGAAGAGGCCAACACCCACCTCACCACAGCTTCCTTTCAGGTAGCAGAAGAGAGCAATAAGGTCTCCCCTCAGCCTTCTCTTCTCCAGACTAAACAATCCCCATTCCCTCAGCTGTTCCTCATAAGACTTGTGCTCCAGACCCTTCACCAGCCTTGTTGCTCTCCTGGACCTGCTCCAGCACCTCAATGTCCTTCTTGCAGTGAGGGGCCCAGAACTGCTCACAGTGCTCAAGGTGCAGTTTCACCAGTGCTGAGCACAGGGGCACAATCACTTCCCTACTCCTGCTGGCCATGCCATTCCTGATGCAGGCCAGGATACTGTTGGCCTTCTTGGCCACCTGGGCACACTGCTGGCTCACAATTAGCCAGCTGCCAATCAGTGCCCCCAGGTCCTTTTCTTCTGGGTAGCTTTCCAGGCACTCTGGGGTTATTGTGAATGAAGTACAGGACTCAGCATTTGGCCTTGTTGAACCTCATACAGTTGGCCTCAGCCCATGGATCGAGGCTGTTCAGACCCCTTTGCAGAGCCTTCCTAGCCTTGGGCAGATCAACAGTCCCATTTTGGTGATATCTGCAAACTTGCTGAGAGTGCACTTGATCCCCTCATCTACATCACTGATAATGGTACTGACCAAGACTGTCCCCAACACTGAGCCCTGGGGAACACCACAGGTGAGTAGCTTCCAACTGGATTTAACTCCATTCACCACAACTCTCTGGGCTCAGCCATCCAGCCCATTTTGAACCCAGCAAAGAGTGCACCTGTGTAAGCCATAAGCTGCCAGCTTCTCTAGGAGAATGTTGTGGGAGACAGTGTTAAAGGCTTTACTGAAGTCCAGGAAGACACACCATCCACAGCCTTTCCCTCATCCACGAGGCAGATCACCTGCTCCTAGAAGGAGATCAGGTTGGCCAAGCAGGACCTGCCCTTCCTAAATCCCTGCTGACTGGGCCTGATGCCTGGGCTGTCCTGCACTTGCCATGGGACTGCACTCCAGGTGAACCTCTCCATGATCTTCCCCAGTCCTGAGGTCAGGCTGAGAGCCTCTAGTTCTCTGGATCCTCCTTCCAGCCCTTCTTGTAGATGGATGCCACACTGGCAAGCCTCCAGTTATCTGGGACCTGCCCTGTTAACCAGGACTGCTGATAAATGATGAAGAGTGGCTTGGCAAGCTCCTGTGCCAGCTCCCTCAGTGCTCCATCCAACCCCATAGCACTAGCACAAGCTGTGATGCAAGGTAATTGTTTAAATCAGAGACTTTGCAGTACACCATGTTCCTGCAATGACCTGAAAGTCTGGAATAAAAACTGACATTGTGGGTTTCTTCTGTTGTGACTTTACATGGACAGTCTCTTTACACTTGGTAAAAAATGTTTAAATTTTTAATCTTGGATCTTGCCTACCCACCCAGAGAGATGTTCTGGCTGTTAGGGTCCTGCCCAGGAGATCATGTAGCAGCAGGGTGTATTAAGACATGAGGCCATATGAGAAGGTGTTTTGTGTGACAGGTTTTTAATTTGTATTTTTTCTCCTTAAAAAAAAAAAAAATCTGAGCAGGGGAAAATTTTGTCTTAATAATGGAAATAATAATGATTTTATGATGTCAAAAACTGAATTCCTAAGGTAGGGTTTGACACCACTCAGTCCATAGACAGAGAGGCAGCCTAGTAACTAACTCTGCTAATGAGCAGAGTAGGGGAATTTGCACTACTGATGCTCTTTTTTTTCTTGAGGACTTAGTAGGTTTTTTAGATGTCAGAATTTATAATTCATAACAAAAAATAATACAAATTTTACCCTGGTCAATTGATTTCAATCAACCTAATACCATACCTGCTTGAAAAGCAAATGTGTAAACTTATTCTTGAATAACTACAGCAACTGCTTCATTCTGATTGAAGCTCCTTAACATCAAACATGCCACATTGACCTTGCAATGTGGCCACGTGGATTGGGAATGGAACTTGATTCTCTATCTGATAGGATTTCAAATAAGAGGTTTGCATGTTTATAAGTTACAACCATTTTTACTAAACCTCACCTATTCCATCATAGCTCCAGCTTTGCTCCCTCCCTAAATTCCCCTCCCCACAGAAAAACAAAGTGTGGGGGAAGGTGTCTTGATTGTGATAAAACCCAAGTCTGTAATGTTTCAGGGGGCTGTGTCTGCCTAGTCTTTGTTCTGGTTTGGCTTAGTTTGGGCCAACATGTAATTTGAATGAAATTATAACTTTAAAATGTGGGTGAGAGGAAGGGTTGTCACTGAGCTGCCTTTTCCTTGTGTGAAAGTGTATTTAAAATGCTGTCCTAGCAATTGGTGATTAAGTGGGCTCTTCACTTAAACTATTTTCCTTTTAGATGCAGACTGTTCTGAACTTCCATCCCTGCATCATAAAGAGCAAAGGGGTGGTGCAAAGAAACACAAGACAGATCACTTCAATCTTTTTCTTGAAGAGTGTAAGTATAAAAAGGCTTTTCAATTGCCATGGAAGGTATTTTTGTATAAGCAAGCACTAACGTTCTCTTCTCTTTGTACAGTGAAGAAAATGAGGGAAAATATGGATATGCTGCTTCTGAATCAGCAAAGCCAGCTGCAGGTCCTGCAAGAAATTCAGAAACAACTGAATATACTCCTCCCAGGCAATGATCTCATTAATTCAAATGTCTATAACTTAGGACTCCTGCTAGGCCGGCAGGCAGCTGCGGCAGCATCTCTTTCTTTTCCACTCCTGAACCCCAGCAGTCTCCTCCCTGAAAATGCCAGCAGTCTCTTATCCCAGTCCTCTGCTTCTAGAATCCCACCTGCCACTCAGCTCCCAGGCTCTCAGTACCCTGCACCTTCTACAACTTGATCAGGTTTGTGCTGTGAACGGATCCAATGTAAACAAATGTCACTACTGGTTCGTCCTGTTTTCTTGCTGTGTGATCCCTGTGTTGTTGTATTGAAACTGTAGTACCTGTGAAGTTGCTGACCATCCAGTCAGACTTGGAAAGATACCTGCCTCAGATGCATCAGCAAACAGCAGGTGATCAAATCCACTGCCCATTCACTCATTGCAGTCTGCAGACGTTTTGCAATAATGTGTTTTTTCAAGGCAGCTCAAGAGGTTTTTTTTATCACTGGGGTGCAGTTGGGTGCTGCATCTATATGTCAGATAATGCATAAAACTTAGGCATGTCTTTCTACCTGCTCAGTCTTTAAGATGTACTTGGGCAGTTGGACCACTTCTAATGAACCTAAAGCTAATGATAAAACAATCAGGGATGCTTTAAGCAGCTCCTGTTGGATCTGATTTATACAGAGGTAAGCAACATGCTTAGCTAAAGTTTCATTGCAGCTCTGTTCCCAGCATGTTTGCAAAAGCTTCTTTCCTTCAGGAAGGCTGAATGAAGACACTATTAAAGCTACACAAAAATACTTTTTTTAAAATTTAGAATGAATAAACAACTTCCCCCAAAAAAAACAGCCCCAAGAAGAGGCCACCCTGAAAGTCTACCTTGCTTACTAAGAGTCTAAGGAAAAGCCATCTTGGTTTATAGGACACATTCTTTTGTTCAAAGGTGAACTCACATGAGTCTGGTTTTAGATATTCTGTCATGTCCTGGTTGGATTATTAAATGTTGTTGGCTGTTGCCTGTTAGCTCATTGAGGACAGGACTGAGGTAAATAATTACTGTTTGGAGAGGAACTCTCAAACTCAGGTGCACCATCTTGTGAAGTCTAAGGAGCAGGGAATTGATCCCCTCCCCTGCTGACCTTCTCCTGCCTCATTCCTGCAGGACTCTGACTTGGGGCCTTTGAAAGTAAGTGCAGAATTTTAAGTGTTAGTTGTTTCTACCTCCTTGTTTCTATCAGTGACACAAGCTAGTAGTACTCTCAGGGCCTTTGAGCATCAAAAATGCAAAAAAGCTACCTGTTCCTTATGTTTGAACAGCTGCTGGGATAAAGAAACTTTGTGACTGGTGCCTAAGCCAGACAGTCTTTCTCTTGAGCTGCCATTGTATTTGTGGTTGTCGATTTCGTGGGGGTTTTTTATGATGTATTGTTAAAAGGATGCCATTTTAGTAATTAATAAAGTATTATTCAGATTTTAGGAACACTGCTTCCCTTAACAAGTTGTGTTGTTGGTGACAGTGCAATGGTGTCAGATGGTGGTCCCGGGAGATAACTGTGGGATCAGCTATGAGACTACTGGTTCTTATTATGTGGGATTTTTTATTAATCTTACCTCAGTCGTTTAAGCCAAACTGAGAGGCCTTAAAGGGGATTCCTTCAGTGTGAACTTGTACTGAA